GAAACAACTTAAACTTTTACCATGAATGAGTTAAGATTTTCATGGATCTCTGTTACCAAGTCTACATTTCCAGTTCCATGAATCAATTTAACACAATTACCACTCTTACATTTGTATATTTGATACTCTATCAAGTTTAATCAACCAAAGCAATTCAAGTACGAACACTATTCCAGGTTAACTGAGATCCAGGGGAAAAATTCATTTAATCATATGAGAAAATCTAAACATGGTGATTATATATACTTACCGATTTACTGAATAAAGATAGAGGAGTTTTCTCATCGATAATGACCCTTGATGATCATTATTAACAAATAATTCTGGTAAAACTCGTGGTCAAGTTACAGATGAAATTTAATAAAATCACATGAATGAAAAATACGATATCATATGACTATCGAAACCATGATAATGTCTTAAGGTCATTATATGTTTAGACTCGAAAACAGTTATGATTTAACTCGCAATTTCAGTAAATATTTAGAAAGAGGAAGAGAAACAAGTTGATCAAAGTGAAAGAAGTTCTAAAAGTTCTGAGTTTACTAATTGAATATCTCGGCCTTTAGAACATAAATTGAGTAGAAAAACTAATAGAAAAAAATTGGAAAAAGAAAAGTTTTTGCCAGTTTATTTTTCTTTTTTCTCTTCTTCATTGTTTTCTTATTCTTTAGCTCATCAATTGATGGATAAGATTGTGAGGTGAGAAGAGAGAGAGAGAGAGAGAAATTTTTCTATTTTGTCTCACTTTTCGAATCAATAAAAAGGAATACAAAAGATTATCTCTGAGAACAATTAGTTCTATATTAAAGACAGAGAATTTATCTCTCCTTGTTCCCAGTTCTGTTTTTATTCATAACCAGAACTTTCTTTCCCTGCACCAAAGAGGGAAAATGGAAAAAAATAAGAAAGAAATAGAAAGAGAGAGAGAGAGAGGAAAAAATTTTCGACATGAAATCCAAAGAATAACAAAGAATAAAAAAAGTTCCTAAACGAAATTTTCATCTACATGATGCATCTTCATCTCTTTTTTGTCTCGAAAACCACTTATCAATTTCAATAGAAAAACATTCTTGGAGCAAGAAGGAATTCTGATTTAATACCATGAAGTGAAAGGTAATTCTTACCTTGGAATGATAAAACATTACGACTTTTATATAAGATGCATAAGTAAATCATGATTATCTAATTTACTCTCTATGAAATCTTTTAATACTACATGATAGATTCAAGGGTATCTTTTTGTATTCTTGGTATGAATATGATTTGTGAGATACTTATGAATCATCAAGAGTTTATCATTTCCGTAATAGTTACCATTCAAATTCAGTGTTTATCTGCATCATATTGCTAGTTAATCAAATTCCAAGTCGAGTGAACTTTCATCTGATTGAAGCTTATGGCAAGGAAATGGTCTTATACATATGATAAATCCTCAAAGATGTCAACTGAACTCTGTTGATAGTTTATAACTTGTGAATGCTGTAAACTTATCATCAATCATGATCATGACCATCATGATCATCAGCATCATTTTTGATTTTCCTCTCCTTATGTTCCCATGGCAATGTGTTTGTATTCACATGGACAATAAACACTGAGATTATTACTTTTAACACTCAATTGATTAAACTAACTAAAAGTTACTAAACTAATAATGTTCACAATAATAAATCAACTTTCAGCTTAACCATTTCAAATGATACAATTGTAGTATTAAGTGAATCAAGTTTAATCATGGAAGATGAAAGTTCAGTTAGGTAAGTCAAATAAGAAGTAAAAAATAATTTACAAGATTAACTTAACAAGATCTTCAGGTCAATTATCATAGTATCAATTCATAAGCAGCTACATGTATATTTTTCTTGATAAGGAAAATTAACAATAATTATTTGTAAATCAAAAGTTGATTTTTGTTAGGATAAAATAGTACGAGAAAAAATTCCACTATTCTTTTCTACTATTCTAAAAATTTGCATCGAATATAATATAAAGCTATGAATAGAACTTAGTTTACTTTGCATATTGTTTACGAGGCCAATTACAGCTAATTCTTGTTTAATAACCACTTCCCAATCGAATATCAGTTAACATTATGGTCATAACGAAACCAAAAGGTATTTACCTGTGGAAATAATTGAAAGAATAATTTTATGGAAATATATCCACCTGATAGTACATCACTGTCTAAGACTCCACTATATTCACGTGTTTTATCATAACACAGTTGATTAAGCCAAATACACAAAGAAAATCAATTTAATTAAGTAGATTATTTTTTGTAACGAAACTTTTCTCATAACTGAATGCCAGTGAGAAATTAACAGGTTTAGATTCTATTACAATGAACGTGCCAAAGGAATCTGATTTTACTATTTTCTTTTACTTTATTTTACACTACATAATCTATGCATCTAAATTATCGTCGACATATGCACCTAAATGTTAATATGGATAAGGTGGAAGAAAATTTTTGTGAGGTAAATTTATTTCAATAGAAAAGATCGGGTTACAATATTATGTTAATAATAATAATAGTTAATCTTAATATTTTATTACAATTAAATGGACATCAATCAATAATTACAATTGTAATTAAATAATCATATTTTTTCTATTTGATAAGTAGAAAAGAGAAAAAATGAAAAAGTTTCATTTGTTGATTTGTTGAAATTTTTTATTATCTGAGTTCACAGAATATTTTATTTCCAATGATTATCATACTCATCAGGTTACATCAGATAATCAAGTGAAGTTTATTGTTATTGTTATTATTGTTATTTTATTTTCGTTCACCTTAACAATTAAATTCCACAAGAATTTTACAATAATGTTAGTTGCAATAAGTACTTTTAAACAATTCTAACCCTTTACTTTGTGCAAATGATGATATGATAATGATACCATTAATAATAGTAATCCAATTCATCATGATGAGCCAAATTTACCAAAGTTGATTATGATAATTAATTTCAATAGAAAGACGAATAAGAGCTTTATAATGGATTTATTTTCCACTTGTAAATTGTAAGACATCAAGGTTTGTACGAGCAATTGTAGCAGCATATTTCAATTGCAACCAAAAAATTCTGATTGAGATCAGTTGATTGTAATTAAAAGAGTTTTTATTGTTTATTTTACTTTGATACTCTGGTTATTCATTGCAACTCTAAATTTTCACCAATTGACGAGATTGAAATTTTCATTTCTTTCAACTTGAAATTTTTGCAATCAGATTAATTGAAATATTAGATGATCAAATCACTTTATTAGTTATATAAGAAATTACCTAGGCTAATTCAAATATTAAAAATGTTCTTTGTGGGAATGGCGTAAGAACAATCTTCTCTGATATCTTAAGTAACAATACTTTTTTTAAAGCATCATAGAGCCTCACCATCTAAGAGTCACCTTTTCAAATGAAAAATCATTGATAATTTTAATCCATTAATCAAAATATAACAGTTATCAACTAGAAATGTAAACAATAAGAAATTATGAATGAATTAAATAGTAAAGCTGAAGGTTAACTCTTTTGATTTAAGTTAATTATACTTGTAGTTATTAAAAATAATGTACATTATCTGTATTTATTGCAAAAGTTGTATTCAGGGTATGTCTGTTGATATCCTATTACGTTAATTGTAAATTCTGAGTCATAATTTGGATTTTGGAATAATCTATTTGAATTGTGAACAATTAAGTTAACATTAGGCTTACAAATGCTACAAATATTCGACTTGACAAATGAAAAGGACAAATTTGTCTACCTGTTTGTAATACGAAAATTTTAATTACTCTTATGAAAAGTCAAACATTCTGTTTTGAATTGCATGATTGACATGATATATTTCATATGGAAATGTCTGGATTGCCTTAGGGATCATGTGAATTATTATAAGAGAAAAAAATAGCGAGATGTTGATTATAAATATAATAATCACAATGATGATAATTTTCAACCTTCCATGATAGTGATAATATCTGAAGATATGGAAATTGTTGCTTGAATATAATGATGTTACTTTGATGCTTAGAGCTGAAACCCTGACAAAATACCAAGAGAACTATTTTTTTTTTGCTGGTAAAAAATCGTATTTTCTATTATTCTGACATGATTATTAGCATTCTCTGTATATATTGTTATCCATCCCTGTCATGGATTCCAATGAATAGAAAACATGTATTTACATTTACATCTTGAGTATTTCAATTCATTTTGTCAGCATAGAAATTGTAATATATTAATCCAAGTATCAAGATGAGCATCACCATGATCATGGTATATATGAATTTTAAAAGTGGTTAATATTTAGTAATGGAAAAACACATAGAGAGAGAGATAGAGGGAAAAATATAAAATCTTCCTCAGGCAATTTTAGATTTTCAATGGAGAAAAAAGTTTTGAACTTATTCAAGTTTAAATGGTAGAATTGAAAACAGAAACTTTTATCCTCCTTGGAAAATACAATTAATATTGAATAATATTTACATTGGTTTGCCGAGAATCGTTATAATCAATTGCTGATAACCATTAATCATGGGAATTTGATTCCGATAAAAAGTTTCATTGGAACTGTGAAGTTTATGTTTATCTTTAAAATGAAAATCAAATCAATTGCAGTCAATTTAATTAACTAAAAAGTAATTGCAATCAAATTCTGGCTTAATTTAAGTTTTTTACTTTGATCAACAAGTCAAACTGTATCAATAATTTAATTGCTAATTATAATTTCCTGTCTACAGTTAAATGTTAATTGTGACTTTGCAATACAAGTGAATTTAGCTTTAGGCTATAAGAATTTGATTCTATTTTTGTTTAGATTGAAATTTTAATATTTAATTTGATTGAATAGAATCACTTTCAAGATAAATGTTTCACTCTAACCTTGATTGGAAGTCTTTGATTGAAACAATTATACAATTGTAATTGTCAACAACCATTCTGATTGTAATCATCCAATTGATTAAGTAATTGATTGTTGAGGATACTATTTGTTAAGAAAACTTTTTATTATTCAATCAATAAGATAATAGTTTAACAATAAATATTTGAAGTTGATTGATTTGCAATCTCATTATGGTTAATTGTTTGAATGTATTGATATTTACTTAGTGAAGATAATTTATTAATCGTTGTGAGAGATTTAATTTGTTTATAATCCAAATGATTAAGATATAATTTAAAATATTCTTGAGCCTTTCTTGTAATTAATATCCTCTGTGCAAGGATAAATTAGTGAACAATTTGATCCGGTTAAGGCAACCAGAGCTGCTTCCGAATACAATTTAACAGCGGGAACCAATTTAAGATGTAAATCATTTCTTTCAGCGGCAACTCTGTGGTCAAGTGAAACAATTGATACGAAATTGGTGATTAGGTTGGATAAGTCTCCAATATAAATTTGGAAAAGGAGTAAATTCTTACCCGAAAATATTGACCAATGCTCTTTCCAGGGTGGTCAATGTTACTGGTCGATCTTCACTTTTCAATGACCACTGGTAAACTTTACAAAGATGTTGACGTTTACAGGGTGTTGAGTGGACCTTTCTCACTTCGAGGGTTGTCTCAAGGAGAGAAAGAAACTTTTCAGTTGTCGGCTTATCGAGCAGAGGTAATTCCCAGGGTGTTCCAAGGTAAAATGACCGTTTCCGTCTTCGTCGACCAGTTAGACTACTCATTAGTCCTAAAAGATTGGATATAATAATAACAGATGAGAATAAGAAAATTTTCGATTGGATTAAATGTTCTAATCTATTTATTGGATTGAAAAAAAAGTGTCATTTCGATTAAAAATCAATTCTTCTAAATAAAAACTACTTTACTATTAATACTACTCTCGAATTAGAGTTCAATCATCATTCAGTCCGACAGGTAACATTTTCTTTTTACATTTGTGTGTATAGCTTGACCTCTCTGTCCATTGTCTCATGTCATGAGAGAAATATTAATTTTGAAACAATCATCATCATCGTTGATACAAATCATGTAATGGTTTCAATCATGATTGACAGTAGGCTAACAAACCAAATCAAGCATTATTACATTTACCGTTACCAAATAGCAATCATGATGATCATCATGACGTTAACCTTGATCATTTCATGTAAGTCATGGATATAATCAATATATTGAAACATGAAATTACTGATCAACTCAGTTTTAATCATCGTTTTTTTATCCTCATGTTACCTCATCCAGGGAGGATTAAGATAGTAATCTTAATACAGAATAAATTGTAAATCCTTATCGTTACTGTTTTTCAATTCTAATCGAGATGATTATTGGATTGAGAGATGATCTTAGATAAAAGTTTTGACGATTATAATTCAGAAGAGATTAGTGATAATAACAAAGATCACAGGGTAAAAAAATCTGATTCATTGGAATGGAAATTATCTCAACAATGTTGGGGTTTCTTTGGAAACTATTAATATTTCTTGAGGCGAAAAGAAGAAATCAACAAGAACAAGACATCGAGACGATCGATATCTCTTGGACGTTATTCAATCTCACCAAAGAAATGAATGAAATCAATAGAGAGAAATCAAAAATAATTCTCATTCATATTACTGCTAACAAAGAATAACCTGTAAGAAGATATTCTTCACATTCTCTCGATTCTTTATTCTTCCTCTGAGTTTACAAATTCTTTCGATTGTCGTTTTCTTTTTCTTTCCCTTAGAATTTTGACAAATTCTTTCGTTGTCTTCTATTGTGTTACAATCGACGAGAAAATAACAATAGAAAACAACAGAGAGAGAGAGAGAGAGAGAGAGGTGATGGTGAAAAAAGTTCAGAATACCATGAGATCAAGAATCATCATGAATCCATAAAAAGACACAATAGATGATTAACTTCATTTGATGGAGAAGTTTTTTTCTTCTTAATCTAGTATATTATTTTCATCCTCATCCCCATCATTATCTTCATAAGTTTCTATTATTAGAGATTATATTTACTCTCTCTCTCTCTCTCTCTCTCTCTCTCTCTCTCTCTCTCTCTCTCTCTCTCTCTCTTATACATGTATCTTATCTTCATCATCTTCATCACCGACTACAAGTCACATTCCAAGTTAAATACACCAAAAGATAATCATCAATAAGAAACAATCATCATAATCATAACCATGATTCTTGATATTATTTATTGTTATTCTGATGATAATTTACTATCATCATTATCTTCATGACTGAATTCTGTTGATAATGTATTTCCATCATCATCGGTTGTTACAATTTTGTGAAAATGATTCTCTAATAATATTAATAACACGAGAAGATAAAATAATGACCTTAGGCTATTGTTTTTTTGCTCTCATATTATTTTATTACCTTTATGGTTAATCAACTAGACTATTGCTCAGCCATCATTAACTATTAACAATATCATCATAATCACAATCAAAATTATTTTCATCAATCTAAGAAACAATTTAACTTTCCCACTGATTATCAATTGTCATTTTGATTGTCATAAGCTGATTTTATTGTTAAATTGTGATCATTAAGATAACTCTTGTTCACTAAATTATAATTGATTGTGTTTGATCATATTAACTCAATTTATTAGTTAATCTACTATGACAATGTATTTACAATTTATTAAATTATGAGGATTAACTTAATTTGATTAAAATTGAGCATGAAAGCTGATTAGATTGTGATGATGATAAAATTTAGCAAATTAAACTTGATCAAGACACTTGATTGACATTATAACAATCAAACGTTGTAATTGAATTAACAATTTTCTTTGTCAATTAAACTTTTTACTTACTAACATGATAATTTAATTGTTAAACTTTGATCACACTATTAATTTCATTGAAGGATAATCACAATCAACCCTTTTAATTTAAAAATAAACTTTAACACTTACAAAGTTAAACTTAATTGTTTCCTGTCTTCATTATTTATATAAATAATTAACTTGCCATTCTAATTAATTATTCAACAATTAGAGTCAAAGAACAGTGTTTATACATATAATATAAGAAACGAGTTATTCAATCGTGTTAATCAATTTAATTAATCAATCAATCAATCAATCAATTATCTTGTTGATAGAAAATGACTAATCAGAAAAGATTAGAAATAAGTTTTATACAATCGAACTTGTTTTAGAACTTTCTCTCGAACTTATGTTTCGTTTGAAATGTTCTAAGGTATTTCGAGTTCATTCATCCACTGAAAATGATAATTTCAGGGTATTTATCATGAAGAAGAAGATGATGATGATGATGATGATGATGATGGACAATACTAAGGAGAGACTACCACTGGTCAAGCAAAGGGGTTGAACCTTTTTTTTTATTTACTTTTTCCCCAACAGATTCATGGTCAGTGATTACTTTTAATAGCTGACCATTAACTCTTGCTGTTGATTAGTTAGTTAATAAAAATTACTGATAAAATAAATAATAACAATAAGGATAACAATCAAAAAGGTCATTCGAGTCCATTTGATACACAAGATTAATTCAAGATTAGTTTTCTCAATTTTCCTGGATTCTGATTCATTCCCATGGTGTTATCCATGAAAATAAATGTTTATTTTGTTTGTACTAAAGTAAAAGGATTCAACTGATTTAACTGATTTAGCTTTAACCTTGATGCTGGTAATTGATTGTGTCCCTTTTGTATGAAATGATTATATTATTATCCAATATAAAGGTTAACAATTAACGATAATCAATATGATAAAATTTTATCAACGATTTAGTTATTAGATTTGAACGATTGTGAAAATCAAATAATAATCAAAATCTTTTCATCAGATTGTAAATAGTTTGCTGATTAAATGATTGGAAATTAAGCTTCCACCAATCATGATAAATTGTAATTCCTTTTTGATAATCATAATCGTGATTAGATTTTGATTATTACAATTGTCAGAATTAACTTAGAACCTTTTCTGTTAAATAAGAAACAAAATGGGCTCGATTTTGAAGGTTCGAAAGTTGAAAGTTTTCTGATTTGGAAAAAAAATTTTTTCTTCTTCGATTCTAATCATTGAATTCCTATTTATCGGATTGAATTGTTGTTATCATTTCTTTTCCATGGTACATAGACCATGAAATCCTATTGTATTTATCAATAATCTCTCTTGATATTTCCTTGATTATTTATATATAATTTCTTTTCTTCGAATAATTTAAAAAAATTTCTTCTTCATCTTCTTCTCTTATATTTGATTACCATGAGAATAGAAATCAAAAGTTCAGAATAAAAGTGATGGTGAAGAAAATAATTTCTTCTTCTCTTCTTATTCCAACTTATTTTTACTCTCATAAATTCTAAAGTTTTTTTTTTCTTTCATCATTTGTTCTCAGGATTCAGAACTTTTTTTCCTACTCTTCGAACTTGTCTAGATTAATATCAAATTAAAACTCGAAAATGAATCGAAATTTTCATAAACTCTTCTCATGGTTAAGAGTCTCTCTAAATCCTAATGGGTAAAATTAGATTTACCATTTTTTCAATGTTCTCATGAAAAGATGAGTGTAATAATTATTATCATGTGATGCGATTCTTGTTAATCACAAATGAAGATCATCATGATTTTATCGTTGGAAAACCAATCATAGGAAATGAATGGATATTAATATCTGAGTGTTTCCATTGTGGTTTAATTGTTTAGTAGGTTGTTTGACTTTCACTTTCAATTGAACCAAAAAAAACACTTTGATTAACTAATTGATTATTTTACCTGAGGGTAGATTTAGATTACCAGTAACTGCATAAATGGCTGGTAAGATGGTTAATCCATAGATAACACTTGTCATTAATAAAGTACTTAATCCAATCTTACGAGCTAATCCGGGATTATAAAGATACAAAGGTATTCGTGCATTGGAATCACTGATTAATGGATGAGAAACAGCGTAATCAGATATTGATGTTTCACTTGATTGACGTGAAGGATGAGAAGATGATGAGGATGATAAAAGGGTTGAAGATAAATTTCTGTAAGACATGAATGGAGAGAGGAGAAGATTTTTCAGCGAAAACAATGAAGGAAAACTTTTAGATTCATTGGATATGGAAACTTTTTCTGAAGATGAAGATGAATTAACAGAATCAATTGATGATGAAGATGAAGATGAAGATGATAAATCAGGTAATGGGCCAAAAACCTCTGCTGAATCAAATTTACATTCAACTGGTGGTGTAAATAAAGTGACCGTGGTAACAATTAACAATAATAATCTCAATTGGTTAACGGATATTGATAAAGTCGCCATGTTGTTTGTTCATTTAATATTGTAACGTGTTGGTTATTACACATGACTTTGTATGAGAGTTTGAAAAACAGAAGATGGAGATTTAAGCCTCAGGTAAGTTAGATACCTGTGAAATGATGATGATGATGATGATGATAAGAAAGGAATAAAGAGAGAGATAAAAGGAAGATAAAAGAAGCTAAGAATTTTTTGTTCCGAATTGAACATAACACGGTTTTATGATCTTCACGGGTCGGTCATCATCCAATGAAAAAAATGCTTTTTATCATCATCATCATCTTGACATCTTCTTCATCATCTTTTTCTCACAGTTTTTCATCATCATCATCATCATCTAGTAATTACCTCGAAGGATAAAATTGTTTTTCTGTGTCGCTGATACATTTTATCACCAACCAATTTACCCGCAGGCTTTAAACATGATTACATTTTCTTTTTGTGTACCAATTAACTTATTGTATGAGTAATAATGAGTAATAATTAGGATAATTAACTCAATCGAAATTCAAAACAAGTTCTTATTATTTTTATACAATTAACAAAAAAATCATAATGAGAGAGAGAGAGAGAGAGAGAGAGAGAGAGAGAGAGAGAGAGAGAGAGAGAGAGAGATGTGATTATTATCATTTGATTAGTATTGGAGGTTAGTTAATTCTGGAATATGTATAATAATAACAACAATAAATGGTAAATTGATTGTTATGGTAATAATTATAATCAATTGTTTGAGCATATACAATATAAGTACAGGTAAATGATGATACTAGAGATGATGATGATGATGATGATGATGAAGAGAAAGAATCTTTCTTTTATATATTATATTATATTAATATATATGAGAAATTATCATGACAATAGTTTCTCTTGCTGGTGAATTTGTTTCATCAATTTCCTTATTATTATTACGATGATGATTAACGAAAATGATTAAGAATATGATTGTTTGGATTATCATCATTTAGATGATGATGATGATGTTTCAATTCATTACGGTCTCATGAATATCATTCTGTTGTAAGATAATGATGTTCCCTTGTTATTATCATCACAATCCTCGAGTCCATGTCGGCAAAATGTGAAGGCATTTTTCTCGGTCAAGCTTATCCAAAATAAATAATATTTCACAAACCAGAACGATAATCAAGCCATGTAACAATTAACTCTTAAACAGAAGAGTGAGAAAATGAATGAATACCATTTTTCCATTGTTAATTGTATCATTTTTTGTTCCGGAGAATTTTTTTTTTTTTTGTTTCTTTGTATTTCTTTTTACCATCATCAAGAAAATTTAATCAATCCGTTGGGTGGAGTGGGTAATTTAGTTGTAATATCAATAAGATTTGATCCAGAAACAGTAATGTAAACAAAAAGAGTTACATCAATTTGATCATCATCATCATCATCCAGTGGAAACACCAAGTCAACCATCATCATCATCACCATTGTCATCGTTACCAGTTATCATCATCATCATGGTTGGACAATAATAACAATCAACGAGAGATTATCGTCTCAAATTGTATCATTGAGGATTATATTATATCTACAAAAAAGAAAGGCATTGAAAAAAATCTTTTTCCGGTTTTGCAAACAGTTTCAACTCTTTTCTTCATCAGTTTACTTTCATGATTATCGTTTTCTTTGCATTCCCTTCATGAATCTTGGTGAGATGTATTGTTGCAATTATAAGCCAAGCATTTAAAGAGGTTAATTTCTGATTGGAACATTAAATTAGATGAACCACCATGAACAAGAGATTGAGGAACCATTGGAAAAGGAGTCAGAGAGAGAGAGAGAGAGAGAGAGAGAGAGAAACAATAAGATATTAAGATTCTTCATCATCTAGAAAATGAACAAAAATAAAGAAAAATGTTCAAACTAATTATATGTAAAACCATTGAGTCAGAATTCAGGTATGATTGTTTTCCCAAGGTGTATAAAGCTTGGCAATAGACACACATATAGACAAATATACGCACACACATGATAGGGAGAGCAGAATTAACAATAAATTGATGAGAGAAGAGAAATGAAAAAGAATGGACCAGGAAAGAATGAAAAATAAAGATGAAATTGAAGAGGTTCCAAATATTAGATGAAGAGGAAAAAGAATCAGCAACAAAATATTATTATATTTGCGACTTGATGTGTTAGATTAATTTGTTACTTGATCTTCTTGTTTGTTTATTATGTTATTTGTATTGATTCAAATTGAATCTTTTTTTGTTGTTGTTGTTGTTGTGAACCAAAAATCCAGAGTTAGATATTAACAATTAGCTTTGAAATTTCATGATGATAGAAGATGATTGGGAGTAAAGGTTTCTTTCAATGAATATGCATCAGCCACGAGTAGTTCAACTTCATTATCTCCCCAATGAAAAGTGGGTAAATTTTGTAGATACAATATTAACCCTTGGAAATCATTTTCTTGGAGAAGATTTTTTGACCAATATCGGAGGAAAGCCGCACAAACGTATAGATGGAAAGAGGCTGCAAAAGGTGATCCATTACCAAGTGAATTATTGGTTGTGGTTGATGAGGTTAAATTAGATGATTCAAGGAGAGATGAGGAGAGAGTTGATCCTGTCGATGAACTGGTAACATTGGCAGTAGATGAGGTCAAGGCTCCTTCAGCCAAATAAGTGTCCCAAAGGCGTATGATACAGCGTAAAGGCAGCTCACGAATGAGAAGATTATTCATCCAGCGAAATGAGAATAGTAAATAGTGAACATTGTGACAGGTTAAATGATTATGAAGTTTAGAGTCAATTCTAGACATTACTCGAGCAAGAAGGTTAACTAATGATTGGATTCCTGGTTGAGCAAAGGTGTAATTGTCTTGTATGGAATCCAATAGTTTATTTAATGACCAAAAGGAATCAGCTTCAACTCCTTGTAGTACCTCTTCGGAAAGTGTTGATACATTTAGATGGTCAAGTTCCGTTAATGAATGGGTTGGCATAAATTCTGATAAATAGACGACGAAAAAAGGTATCACAAGGTCATTCATTCCTTGAACATAACCTGAAGCAGGATGACGAATAGAATAGATGTAAAGTATCCGTTGAAATATTCGTTGGACAATTTCTTGCTGAAAAATGGATACCAAGGGTTGCATTCGAGGTATATCAATGTGAATTTGTCTCCAAATCTCATCATCAGGACATCGATTGTTATTATAATATTGTTCAACATAATGTTGATAATCAGATCTTTTCCGAGTTAAAGCTGCAATCCTTTTCTCCCTGACCACAGGTAAATAGCCTAATAATAGTTTCCAAGTTATATGGCGAACCGAAGGTGGAACACCAGCCCAAGCCATTGAACGTAATTCATTTAAATCGGTTACCTCATCTTGATAAATTAGCTTCTTAAATTTGATCAGCTTATTGTCCATCATTGATTGTTTGGTTGATGACATGATTGTATATATAAATTATCAAGGAAGGAAAAAGAGTGAAAATTGATTGATGTCCACTAATTGATCTATTCTTATATGGTTATATATGATCAAAGAGAAAATAAAGTCAATAGAATTCAAGAGAATATTGAAAATATTTAGATTATAAGGGAAAAAAAAAGAAAGAGATGGAAAGATAAAAATAAAAAGAGAGGAAGAAAAAGAAAGGGAAAATAAAGAAAGAGGAAAAGATAGAGAAAGAGAAAGAGAGTGAAAGAGGAGAAAGAGAAAAGCAGGGAAGAATTTGTTCCAATAAGATTAGATGGAGAAAAAGAGTTGACTTAAATTGGATATTGGCGCTAAATGGTTCAATGATTAGTAGATATAAATTTATTTCACTTGATTAACTAGTTAATCACAAAACATAAAAAACTGCAAACAAAAATATAATATAAACATTTAGATATAAAAACATCAACTCAACAAAAACATAAACAGAAAATGAAAACAAATGAAAAAGAGAAGGGGTCATCTTTTAATTACCGATTAATCGGATTTTCGTTTTCAATTTTTTTCGTGATTTATTAATTTTTTTGTTTGTGGATTAACTGGTGATTAGTGATTAGAATTTTATGGTGATTAGTGTTAATTTGTTAATTGTTACCTGTTGGAGTGTGTATGTTGTTTATTGGCGATTTGATTGATTGGTGTTTGTTTTTAATTTAATTTTAGTCTGTTGGGAGTTTGGATTGGATTGATTGAGTTTATTGGATTATTGTGATATAATTGTTGTTACTTTAATTGAGAAATTAGCTTTAATTTGTTTGGTTGATGATTGATTAGTATTTGAAATTGTTTAAATTATGGAGATTATTGAATAATTTGAATTTTGTTTTTGTTTTTAAATTGTTTGATTATCTTTAGAGTAAAGGACAAAAGTTTTACTCTTAATTTGAGTTGAATGTTAATCAGTTAATTGTTGATGATAATGATGAGCAATTGTGTATTTTTTAAGCTGGAAATATTATCTAAATGAAGCTGAAAATGGCTTCATAGTTGAATGGGTTAGATTTTTTTCTAAAAGATAATTGGAGCAGAGAGAGAGAGAGAGAGAGAGAGAGAGAGAGAGAGAGATGAAGATGAAGATGAAGATAAGAGAGAGAGACAACTGATAGAGAAAGTCATTAATCTAATAAGTAATCAAGAGTTGTGAACGATAGTAAATGGGAGATAAAGACAAGACGAATGTCGATCGAGAAGAAAAAGAAAGAGAAAAAGAAAGTGAAAGAACTTAAAAAGTGATAATAATTATCACCTTCGAACTGAGAGCGACAAATAAATCGAATGAATTTTCAAAAGTTCTGAGAGTAACGGTAGAGTTAATTCAATAATAAACTTCATCTCAATGTTAGAAAGAAAGGAAGAAAAAAAGATTAAGATGATATAATGATGATGAAGATGAAAAAGGGGCTTAGGGTGTGAGAGTAATTTTGATCATTCGAAAGCCGCGAAAAAGTAACATTGATTTTCGTCATAAAAAAACCTAACCCTTTTTTCACTTTTATCACCGATCATTAGTTGATCATTGATGTTGATTCACTTTTAATTTTCCATTTTCATTATTATCAAGTTAACGATTAGAAAGTGATAATAAACATTTCAGATGATTAACTTAAATCATCTTAATGTTTCTATCAAGGTTAAAATTCCCATTCAACTTTTAGCTAATCTTTTTACAGATAATCTAATGGTGATGATCCTTTAAAGGGATTGGATTTATTGTTTTAACGGTTTAAAGGGATTTATTAGCTAATGATAACCTTTGATAGTTGATTAGAAATAAGTAAAATCAATGTTAACTTTTACCTTCTTCTTAATTGTGATCAACGATAAAACTTAAGCTCTTCCCATCGAGAGGTAAAAAAACACACCAACCTACTAATCAACACCAATCGGTAGGCTGTAAATTGGGTAAGACTATTGATCTGATGATGATGATGATAGTAAACAAATGATGATGAATGAAGATGAGAGTGAGAATGCAAATGTAAATGATCATTGATGCGATGATTGGAGGAGATTTAAATACCTCAATGGATTGGGACAACTTTTTCATTCGACAACGTTAGTTAGACGAGAACAGGAGAGAGAGAGGAGAAAATTGCGAAAATCGGTAAATTGTTTAAAAAAAAGTGAATTCGAAAGTGAAAATTTGGAATCGAAATTAATTTTCCATTATGGTTTATCCATATTCATTTGTACGGTTACTTTTAACTGTTGGACTTTTAGGTTTTGTTGTTAGTGCTCAAAGTAGTGGAAATCATCATCATCATCATCAACAACATCGTCATCGACACCATGGTGGTAATCATCATCATCATCATAACCATCATTTGGATAAAATTTTACCTCGATCATCATCACCATCATCATCTGAAGGTGATTGTGGATGTGATGAAGATGCTTCATTACAACATCATCTTTCCTCAGGTAAATTGTTGTCACCTCGAAGTTTAAATCAACAATTAAAACCAAACAATTTGATGATGGAAAATCTTGGCAATTATGGATTCGTACCTCTTAACCTTTCACCTCCTCATCCTCATCCTCCTCAATCCTCTCCAGCTGATCATTTGTTGCTACGACCTTCAGTTTCTCAGCAACTTTCAGCGCCAACAATTGTTACCACGGCTGAAGCTCGACCTGCTCGACAATTTAATTATCCTAATATGAGCCCTCGCCAGGCCAAAGTGAACGAATACTTTTACAAAAGTGACCCAGGTCATCCAATCATGTCACCTTATACCCTGAAGGGTAAAGATGGTCGACTTTATACCAACTATCGACCCGATCATCAAGTTCCCGATGAACATTTACCATCAGCAGCGGCCACAGGTTCATCTTCTCGTTATGTTCCCGCTCCTTCAAGTTCAGTTTTAGGTCGACGAGTCGCTCGATCATTAATGCCCTCAGAAATGTTCATGGGCTCACCTCAACCAGGAATGGAAATGGATCCAATTAAACGTAACGATGGAAGTGAATTAATGTATCCAAGTGACTTTGGCTTCGCTTCACCCGGTTCATATCCTCGACCTGGTGCTTCCGCTTCTGGTGTCCCACCACAACTTTGGAATTCATTTGCACAATTGTCTCCACCCCAATGGTCATCATCAAACCTTTCACCAGTTCCAGTTCGTTTATCAGGATTAACGGCTAACGGCTTAACCAATCCAGGTAATCCTTTAATCCAAGGTTCATCTCCAGTAAACTCTCCTGGTGCCAATGGTGTCCCAATGCCCGGGTCAACACCCGGAGGGTCACCAGGTTCCCCTGGACAGCAAATGAATATGCACAATTGGTTCAATTTCCTTAATCAACCTTTCTATGGTCCACCAATGATGAACCCTTTCCAAACAATGACCGGTAATCCAATTGATCCTTCACAACAATTACCTCAACCTTTACAACCTCAATTACCCCAACAACTTCAACAACAACAGCAACAACAGTCTACAGGTAATTCATCAACTGAAAAGGGTGAGAAAAACACCTCAGGGGAGGATAATTCAAATGATGATAGTGCCAATAAACCAAATAATCGCCGTCAACGATTACTAAATCAACTCAACAATTTAAGTCGAGCTCCTCTCGAAAATATTAGAAACTTTTTCCAAAGAGTAACATCAACCACAACCACAGAATCACCCAAAGACAATGAATCTTAAAAATCTCCCTCCGGGCTCACTAATCACACCACCATCACAATCACCACCGTCATCGACATAAATCATAGTAAAAAGTTAAGAAATTGAATAAAAATCATCGATTATCATCATTAGCGATCAGAGAAAAACCAAACAATCAAATTAGTGTTTCCCTCTTCTTTTAACTGGCGACAATCAATTAACTAATTGACTTAATTTTTTAATTGTTCCTTTTCATTCTTAACAATGTTACCAATTAAATATCTGTTCTTTGTGCCATGTAGCTTGAGTTAATTAACTTCTATTAGTTGATTAACTCAGCATTCTTACATTCACATTTTTCCTCTATTAATGTATTCATTTAATAATCTTATTGTTGTTTTCATCTTTTAATTGTTCCTTGTCTACCTTAATTGTATTTCTATGTGTTAATTGTCACAATGTTTTAATTGTTTCCAATTGTCTCGTTTCCTCAAATCAATTAACGTATCGTTAAAACCTTAATTGTCTTGTTTGTCTTTCCATGTTTTTGTTTGTATTTCTTTTCATTTAATTGTATTAATTTACCTTAATTATTTGTCTTCATCATAACAATCATCATCATCATCATCATCTTCGTCGTCGTAATTATCACAATCATAATCATCATCATCTGATTAATTAACATCTTATTTTGTTTAATTGTCTATTTTTTTATTTGTCTACAATTTACTAATTCATCTTGTCCAAAATAATTGAGATTTAATCTCAACTGTTAAACTTTAATTAACTAATCGCAGTTAATTATCTTTGCTGTTAATATTATTAAACATTGACAACACTTCCTCTTAAATCAAGTTAATCATAATTCAACAATTAAATTAGATCAAAGGTGAGTGATTAAATATTTAATCGATTAATTCAGTTCCTGTAATCATGATAAATATCATTTCTTTCAACAGATTCATTTCCACCATAATTAATCACAATAAGAAATTAACTGAAAATCAGAATAAAATCCGAAAAAATTAAACTGCCACTAATCAACTATCATCAATCGAGGCAATTTTCAAATGATAATAATAATGCTTAGATATTAATTGTTGATTCTTAATGAATGTTCAAATAAACTGATAATCTAAAAAAAAATTTATACTTTGAACGATAAAAATTAATGAACCTTTCGCTTTCAATCATCATTGATATTGTCTAGTCGAGATAATTTAAATCAAAATGATTTAATTTATTACGATGATTAGTTAACATGTTTGGTTTTTTAATCACTTTACAACGTGTGTGATCAACTGTTAATGGTTTCGTTGACTGTTTAATGAACGTTCATTGATTAATCCATCAAGATGTCGATGATAGTTGACTATTAATTGCGGTTCAATGATGATCAACAAATGATGAGAGAGAGAGAGAGAGAGAGAGAGAGAGAGAGAGAGAGAGAGAGATAAACAACTATTAACTTTTTCTCAACTCATTCTGATTAGTTGATAATCATCCTGAATTACAATCTCAATCAGAATACTTTAAATAGATTAGAGAGAGTTGAATACGAAACAAAAAGTAAAAACAAAATTAACAGTTAACCTTAATTGTGAATTTAACAGGGTTCAATTCAAGCTTCTCATGATAATCAATATGAGGAGAGAAAAAAAAAGTTGTGAAACTTAAATTAGTTGGTTATATATTCACTTAACTATTTAAAGTTGATTAAGAGAAGACAATTGACTTTTCCCAAAATAATTCAACCAATTCGGTAAATCATTCATTATGTTTTTACTTTAGTATAATCTTTGATTGGTTGATTAAAGACTTAATTGTTGTTTGATGATGATAATGATGATTTTGTGTGGTTAATACTTTCTGATGAGCTTGAATGAAATTAGAGCGAAAGTTGATTAATGATGTTGATTAACACACAAGGTATTAAAACAAAATAATCATTAGCCTTTAATTGTTTGCCTCTATTTTTTTTGTTTGCATCTTATTCTGATGAGTTTTGGTTAGATTTAATTGTTATAAATGTTGATTCAACACATTGATTTCTCATGAGATACTATGAGAATTATCATCTTCATCATTTTCATCGCCTTCATCGTCATCTTCATCATCGGAATCTTGATCGGGGAAAAGTACATTAGATACAATTGGCTGTATACAAGTTGGTTTGGTCTTCATGTAGTAACGATGGTCAAGGGAACGAGTTCTATCTGATCCCATGGAAAATGAATGAATCTTTATGAAACGATCTAAACTACAGGAAACAACTTTTCCAATGTTTGTTTCCAAGGGAACATATTTAATGTCTCTTATTGCACCTCCACCGAAACACTTGAAAACACCTAAATGTCGACATGTATGCGAATTAAATCTTAGGTCAACGGCCATCATTCGTCCCATGGTTGTACCAAGAATTATCTTCTGAGTTGGTGTACAGTTATTAACGGGTGATTGGGTAGCGCAAATTTTGGTAAATGAGGGAGGATTTGAATCATTGTTAAAAGTTTGATCTTTAAAGTTTAACTGCCAAATTGATTTGCGACTTGATGATTTAAGATCGTAAATACGGACAACCGGATCAGTACGGGAAGCGGTTGCTATCATTGATGGTGATGAGACCAAAGTTGAGGTGTTAATCAATGATTGTTTACCGGCAAATGGGCCGATCCAGTCTAAATCAGAGGTCCAAACTTTATGCCTGATTCCAAGCCAATCGCGCTTCTGTGATTTTGCCGTGAAGATACATTGCTTAGTGTTTAGATCAAAAACTCTCATATCGAAATTTTTACCACCAATGGCAACACGATTATCTTGGACTTTAAAACACGTTAGGCAAACATTTGATGGTTGCCAATTGGGTGAAAAAATTGTCGTTATAGTTGAATCTGAAGAAGTAAAATCGAGAGAGAAGGAAAAAGAATTATTTTTAGAAAAAATTATTGTCTATAAAGGTAAAGATCGATAATTGTTTAAATCGTAGATGAAAATTTTGATAGGATACTTACTATCACCTTTTTTAATACCTTTCGATTTTGTATGAGATTTTTTGATCTTTTTCGAAGCACTTGGCCCACCTTCATCTCCATCATCATCACTGTGATCAGCTTCTGTTGTTTCAGTTCCAATTCCCAATATTTTACAAGCTTTTTTACTACTTCGACTTGAAATAGCAATAAGATAGGTCTCAATATTTTGTACATTAATTGTTCCATTATCGTAACAGGAAATTATTCTATTACCAGATAAAGGTAATGATCCAATTAGATTACCTTCAACTGGATTAGCTATGGTGGCAAACCTTTGATTGTATGAATTATACAAATAGATATGATTTGGTCGACTTGCTATAAGATAAATAAAATTTGATTCCTCATAAGGTTCATCAACAAAATCGTCGGAATAATTGTGTGAACTAGTTATTTGATTATCATTATCATTGTCAATATCTTCCAATTGATCGTTTGATTGGCGAAAATAGTCAGGAACTGCTAAGGGGGTAATGGACAATACCGATTTATCCGGTGAAGGTTCACCAATAAATTCCCGATTCAAGGTTAACAATATTTTCTTATCCTTGGTTTGTTTGGCTTTCGCATGTAAATCCAATCGTTTAATAAAACCAAGTTCATCTCCAACAAGAACAGCACTCAACAAGTTTGTCATGGTTATCCAAAAAAAATGAGGAAAACAAAGAAAAGAACCAAAAACACCCAAAGAAACAATTAAAACAATTACCTAAGAGAAAGAAAATCAAATCAAATCAAATTATCAAAATGAATAAAAAACCATGTGTGCTGAGAAAAACATTGAAAGTGAAAACCATGCACACAGAAAACCAAAGTCAAGACTTACCTTTAGAAGGTGAGAATCGGATTAGATTGTCTTCTCAACGCTTAATCTTATTAACAAGTGCAAATAATTAAACAATTAAATTAATTAAACTAAAACATAAACAATTTAAGACAAAGATTTAAATTTCATCAATCAATTTAAATTTAAATACGAAGCATTGAGTTTAAGGGGCCGATTAGGAATTACGATCGTGACTCTTGGCGCATTTTTAATTGTTAGTAACAATTAACTCAATTAATTGATTGGATTATTTGGACTATTAAATTGTTTTATTGGGTGAAGCTTTATGGAAGATTGATTTAAGTATTGAGAAATTTGAATGGAATCTAATTAAAGTGGTTTTATTGATAGATTTTATTTGGAAGTGTTTAAATTTGGTTTGAACAATTTAATTTAATTTGTTACATTAAATTGTAATTAGTTGAGTCTTGTTTGTTTGTTTTGTTGGATCAAAAAATTAAATGAATATATATGATGAACAATTAACTGATTTTGAGATGAAGTTTGTTACATTAATTTTGTTTTCTTCGAGAAAAGTTAATTCAGTTAAGTTTGATATTCATGTTCATCTTATTGACATTGGTTACAAGTTAATTGTTAGTAATTAATGTTTGGTATCAGCATAATCAAAATCACCGGATTCTATTCTTTGTCTAACTGCGTATCTTGAGCACATATCCAACGGTTTCTTTTTTTCCTAAAAGTAAAAAGTAATAACAAATCAATTAGAACGAAAATTCAAATTCAAATTCAAAATATTAATAATATTTTCGTTTTTCGATTAATAATTTACCTTGTTCTCGATTTCCATGTCAGCACCCGATTCAATTAACAATTTACACTCAGCTAATCGCTCTTCCTCACAGGCACAATGTAAAGGTGTATTTCCATAATTGTCTTGAATGTTGATATTAATTTTTGGAGATTCGAGGAGTAATTTAACTATCTTGGAATTGCCTTTGGAAGATGATCTATGTAAAGGAGTTGATCCATATTTATCTTGTGGATTAACATTAGCACCAGAATCAAGAAGCAATTTAAATATTTCAAAATGAGATTTAGAGGCAGCATAATGTAAGGCTGTTTGTCCATTGTTATTGGGCCGATTAATGTTCACACCAGCTGAGATTAATTCTTTGACAATATCAAGTCTTCCAGCCGAACAAGCGATCATTAATGGAGTCCATCCCATCTTTTTTTTGAATAGAGAAGAGAGAAAATTATTATCACCGTTAATTTGATTTATAAATCAGAATAAGAATTTACCTCATCTGTAGGATCTAATTCCGCTTTAGGATCTTTGAGAATTTCTTTCAGTTTAATGAGATCACCTTCGGAAGCGGCTACATGTAAAGGAGTTCGATCTTCAGAGGCCTTGGAAATTAAGAAAAAGAAATTGAAATTAAACAGTGAAAAAAAAGATCCAAATTAGAAATAAATTGTTATACAATTTTTGTATTAGAAGAGAAAATTGAAAACAATAAAGATTAAGAAAACTTTCAATTTGCCTATTCAATTTTCTGTTCACATACTGAGAACAATTAAAATTCTTACCATTTAAATTGATTGTTGAATCAACTGTAATTATCGATAGGAGTTTAATGTGATATAAAATTGAAATTCACAATAACTAAATCAACTAATTGATGTCCAAATCCAGTGAAAATTATACAAGTCATCGTGATAGATCATGTGAGTAACATATGATTAGAAAAGTAAAAAAATGAACAACCAAAAATTAAAGAGAAAACAAAAAGATCAAGAAAAATGTATCCAAACTCACCTATTACAATTAAACACAAAATAAATGGAAATTAAACTTGTAATTACAATAAATTCTTAAAATTAATTGATTAATAAAAAGATTAAAAAATGAAAACAAATTAAAATTGGAAAAAAAATCAAAACAATTGATCAGGTTTTCATTTTCTAACCAATAGATGGCAGGAGAACCGATGTTCGCAATCGGTGATTTAAATTTTAAATGTTTTTCCAATTTGATTGCTACCAATCAGTAATTTCCCTAATCAATTAAAATGATAATCAATCGTCAACCTAAATGAACCTTTAATTATCACCGATAAAAACCGAATGGTAGCAAATTCTAATGATAAGGAATAAAATTTAATCTAACCAATGATCACTCATGACGATAATCAATGAAATGGTCAAACAATTAAGTTTAATCATCGCGTTTCAATTATAATTAGTGAAATGTGACTAAAATTAAAGGTGATTTGTATTTCCGTAGATGTGAAAAACATGCTCATTGGAAAATGTAAACAATGAGAGAGACAAAAAGATTAACCTTACCTTTAGATTGTCAAGTGTAAATCCATCAAGTGAATCTTGTTGATTTAACTAAGGGCAAAGGTTAAATGTTGAGATTAAATTGTTGATTAAAATGGAAATTAATTGAATCATATAAATTATGATAGAATAGAAGGAGAAAAAAGTGATTAAGTTTCATTTTGTTTTCCTCAAGAGGCTGAGGTGACATTACAATCAAACGTAATTGTGGTTGGCGCATTTTTAATTGCAAGACATTTTATCATTACAATCAATTGATTTTTTTTTTCGTTTTAAAGATAATAGATTATGTATTAATGATCAATGATCTAATAATTTTCCAGGGGCGTGAATAAAAATGGGAAAATGATGGAAACTGAAATAAAGTTCATTTTGGTGAAGCTTTTGATTGGTAAACGACACGAGAAGTAAACAAAGGAAAATTGGATTGTATGAAGAGAAATGAATAAAATGAAATGAATCATTTTAATTGATAGAATCTTTTTTTTTTGTTAGAATTTTCCTTTTTTTCTGTTAGAGTTGTCGGCCACGAATGAGTTGACGATGAGGGAGAAGAATAATAAGAAGAGAGAGCAAGGTGATAGATAGATAGAGATAGAGAGAGAGTGAGAGTGAGAGTGAGAAGAGAAATGTAAAGGATCAACGATCATGGAATTAACGAGATCCAGATTTGGAATGATTAATTAACCATTGTAAGGTTATGTCAATATTACTTTTCTCTTTACATGAGATGGAATAACAGCAAATCTCTCGATCTTGAATTGCGGCCAAATTCATTTGTTCAATTAATTCATTGACATCAAGAGCATCAGGTAAATCTTTCTTATTACCCAATACAAGAACTGGAATACCGGCTAATTGTGGTTTATCCAGCAAATTGTGAAGCTCATTTCGTGAGCCTTCAATTTTCTCGTGATCCGCTGCGTCCACCATGAATACAATGGCATTTACACCTCTACAATAACGTTCCCACATACTTCGGAATCTTGGTTGTCCTCCGATATCCCAAATTTTAATGGTAACATTTCCTTTGGTTACTTTACGCATATTAAAACCAACAGTTGGAATCATATCTTCCATAAATAAATTGGAAGCAATCACATTAACAAAGGTAGTTTTTCCTGAATTCTGAAGACCAACCAAGGTAAGTTCCATCTCCTCTTTCCAGAAAAGGCTTTTCAACCAGTCAAGAACACGATTTATTATGGCCAACATGATTTTAAGAGAATTAAATATTTGTAACAATTAAAAAGAACAAGAAACAAACTAATTAATTATATATAAAAAGAAAAGGTTAAGATGCTGTTGGAACTGTTAATTGATTATCTTGACAAATGGAAACAATTAATGTTGAGATTGAAAGAGAAAGAGAAAAAAGAAAAAATAACAAATGAAAACAAATCCGAATTCGAATGATCCCGGATTCGAATCTCGAATTCGATAACCGAATCCGCTTGACGCTCTTTCCTTTTTCTCAACTCAAATTTTTTCTCAATTAATTTATTTTTCTCTCTCTCTCTCTCCTTCTAATTAACTGATTGCAATTGTGTAAAATTATTAATTGTTTTACCTTTTTCCCTTTTGTGATTCTTCTTGTCTCAATGATAGATTAATTTGTTTTCTCTGTTTCTCTTTGTGTGTGGATCTTTGGTTGGAAAAAGATGATACGATTCATGGTGTTACCGATTTTATTGATTGGTTTTCTATTCTCATGGTTTAATCTTAGTCATGGTTTATATGAGGATCAAATTTACAAATGGGATTGGAGACAACGATTTATTGGTATAGATGTTGATAATTGTCTTAGATCAAATAGTGAAAGTAAAGAATTAATCTTCTGTGTAACCGGTGAGACAAATGTTGTCTCGGCAATTACAAGGAAAGGTGAGATTGCCTGGAGAAATGTCCAAGAGGAACAAGGGAAAACCATTGGTAGTGCTCTTGGTTCAACGGGTGATGGTTTAATTACAATTAGTTTGTATAAAACTAAAAATGAGAGTAAAATTTTCCTTCGTAAATGGTCACAAGATGATTTTGGCTATTTAATTGTGGAAAGGAATCATTTCCTTCAAGGTGATGGTAATTGTTTGGCTTCCATTGATCCAGTTAAAAGCTTGATTACAATTGTATGTGGTCAATCAGTTAATCAACTTAAATCATTCCAATTTTTATTAACTAAAGATGATTCTGCTTCTAAACCAATTGAAAGTGAACATTCATCTCTTGAAGATAATCTGGTTAATGTTAATTTAGAAAATGATTGTTTAATTGTTGGTTACAATAACATCATTTGCTTAACAACAACTTCAATTCATCATATTAAATTGGGTGAATCAAATGGTCCAATCAACCTCTTCCTAAAGCCTTAACCAATGGTGGAAGATATATTCTTGATAAAATTTCTGATCAAAATGGAATCGATTTAGGACATTTCGGACTTAGATCACTTCGAGCCGATGGTCAATTGGAAAACTATTACCTTTACAAATTGAACACTAATGGCGATGGATTGAAATTACAAACAGTATTTCCTAAATTACAAAGATTGACAATATCATCTAATTCTGGTGAATCTAATGGTGAACAATTTTTCGGTATATCACCGGTAAATGATGGAATCGAAGTTTACAAAATTGGCTCTGATTGGAAATTGGAAAAATTATTCTTCACTTCAATTGAAACTAATTCTCATGCTAATGGTGTTCACAGATTCTCATGTGTTAAATTTGGTTCACAAATTGAATTTATTGTAACTTTTGATGATCAACGAATCGTTTCCTACAATTACAAGGGAATATCTAATTGGTCTCGAGAGGAAAGTTTATCTTCAATCATTTGGTCACAATTTATTTCGCTACCTTATTTTTCATCGTCATCAACAACCAGTCAAAATGATAATTTTGGATTACCAAATGATTTCCTATTTCTTTCATCTTTCATTAACCGTCTTTACTCACAAATATCATCCATCCAAGAATACATCATCTCATCATATGGAACTTTATTCACCTCTGAAGCAACAAGATTAGCTTCAATTAAAGATGATTCCAAGGAGAAATCACTAGTCTCTGATGTATTTGGTTTCCATAAATTACTATTCATTGTTACTCAAAGAGGAAAACTATTTGTCCTGGACAATGTTCGAAAGGGTAAAATAATCTGGTCCCATTATGATGCTCGATTAAAAGATGATATTATCCAAGAAAGTAGACTAATCGATTCAATTGAAATGGAAAGTGGAAGAAAATGTGATAAACTACCAGTTCTATCGGTTCACCTTCAACGAAACAATTTATTCTCACCTCGAGTGTCCATTGTCTCACCTATGGGTTATATCATCTCCTACAATCCATTGGAAGGTCGTGTTGAAGAGGTTAAAGATTATAAGATGCGAATTAAATTGTCAATGTTAATGCACCATTCAGATGATGAAGGGGTTAAAGGATTAATTTTGATGAATGAAGAAGATAAAGTTTCCTTTTATCCAGAATCAACTCGAGATACCTTTTTATTGCATAAAGATAATTACTACATGATGGTTTCCAAACAGACAAGTGAAAAAGTATCAGGTTATTCACTGAGACATCTTGAATCAGGTGTACCCAAGGGAGAGGGCGATATTGCCCTTAAAGTGTGGAGTTTAAATTTACCTCTTTAACTGGATCGTGTCTTCAGGTTCGATGGAAAGAGGTTGATGAACATGTTCACTCTCAGGGTAAAGTTCTGGCCGATCGAGCTGTTCTTTACAAGTATCTTAATCCAAATTTGGTTGCATTGGTTAACCGAGGTGAGGAAAGTTCCGATGAAGATTCAGGCCGAATCAATGTGGTTCAATTTTATCTTCTCGATGCTGTTACCGGTTCTATTTACTATTCGGTTGTTCATCGACGAGCTTCCGATCCAGTTCATCTTGTTCACTCTGAAAATTTTATCATCTACTCATTTTACAATGAGAAACAACGTCGAATTGAAATTAGCTCATTGGAACTTTTCGAGGGTAAAGAAATGCCACCACCGCCACCGGTGCGAACACCAAAATTATTGAACATCTTTCCTTTATTTTCCCCACTGGAATACGAGCCATGAGGGAGACTCAAACAATTCGCGGTATTACCAATAAGCATATTCTAATTGCTCTAACCTCCGGTGGTATATTATCTTTACCCAAAATTTTCCTCGATCCTCGTCGAGCTTCATTCGCCAATTCAAAGTATGCATCTTCGGCTGCAGCCATGGAGGAAGGTGGTGTCTACCTACCACCCTACATACCTGAATTACCGATTCCCTCGGAAGGAATAATTAACTACAATCAATCGGTAGTCGATGTTAACCGAATTTATGTTGGTTCATCTTCCCTTGAATCTACATCACTTCTTTTTATCACTGGTCTGGACATTTACTATACTCGAGTTACCCCTTCTAAAACTTTCGACATACTTAAAGACGATTTTGATAATCTTTTAATAATTATTGTTCTTACTGCTCTTTTGTTATTTTCTATTGCAACTAAATATCTGGCATCAAGGAAAACGCTCAATGCTGCCTGGAAATAATAGTGTAAAGTAATTAATGCAAACTCCTAATTATACAAGTCGAAAGTTAATTAGGAAATGATAAAAACAAAAACAGAAAACAAGAAAAAAAAATAATAGTTTGTAAAACTTTGCCCGAATCAAATATTGTAATAATTTAATTTACCAACTAAATGTGAAACCTTTCATGTTATTGAATCAATTTTCAATAAAGACTTTTTTTCAGAAAACAAAAGTTATAATTTGCAATTAATTGTCAATTAATTTGGATACTCTTACTGTGTATGGGTGTACAATAAATTTATTCAAATGCAATAAAAAAAGCGCTGATCACGAAAAGCAAAGTTAAATAAAAATGGGTGAGAATGAGAGAGAGACAAGGAGAGGATGAGAAAGAGAGAGAGGGGAAGAGGGAGAAAAGGTGTGAAAATAAAGGCGGGGATGGGATTATAAGGAGAGTTAACTTGAGAGAGTTGGATAGGGATGAGAGGGAGAAAAATGAGATAATAGAAATTTTTTATACACAATTGTTTTTTGTTTCATCTCCTCAATCAATCTTGTGGTGTTCCTTTGCTTTAATTGATCCTTAATTATTCTTGTGTGTGTAATGTGGTTTGGTTGTTTATCTGTTGACAATTTAACGTGCAAAAAATTAAATCTATCAACTCATCGTTGACTTGTTCCCTGGAGATTTAAATTTCCTTTGATACAATTAACATCTTATTGTTTTTTTTTCCTCAAGGCAAAGTTTTGCTATTGACAAACAAAAAAATGACCTCTCCAAAATACACTTAAGATTCACATTGATGATGATTTTTTTTAAGTTTACCGGAAAAAATGATATAAAGAAAGAGAGAGAGAAAGAGAAAGGGAGAGAAATGCATTCAATAAATGCTCAATATAACATAAATATAAATAACCTTGAACATTCAGCGATATAAATTTATACAACTATCAGGCTATAATTTTTTGTTGCAATTTGCTTTTAAACATGAACTAATCCACTCAGAGGGTTAACCAGAAACCATGGAAAAGGTGATCGGAGGAGTATTGATAGAAGTTAATTTGGTTTTGAAATCATTTCAACAGGCAACTTTAATTTTAATCCAGTTTAGTTGATGGTATTATTTTGTTTTAATTGTTCAATCAGATCCTCTTGTTTATTTATTGTTTCGCTTGAGTAATTGATACTTTAGTGGCGGAGATTTTGGTGGTTCCTCTGGTTATCAACACGCTTTTTCTTATGATGATCTAGACTTTTTGAATTAGATTTTCTTCATAAATGAATCTATTCAGCTTTTTTCTTTCATTTCTTTCCGTTATTACACCTAAACACTGTGCGATGGTTCTTGACTCTTCTCGTCCTTCGACTATGCAAAGTTCACTTAAATAGGGTTCGAGACTTTGTAAAAATCTATGGGAAAAAAGGAGATAAATAAGATTTGGAAAAAAGATTAATTTATATTGGTGAGGTTAATTTACATGAAGATAGAAGATAAATACTTACGATCTAAGCTTGGATGAAACTTGAGCCAAATTCTCAAGATTAAAGCTGCTGTTAAACGTACTAGTTGTTATTGGAGTTAAAGGTGTAATTGGCGGGGGCTTGGGAAGTTCCTGTTAAGACAAAAGAGAAAAAGATAATTAGTGATTAATAATAATGGAAACTATTAAATAACAGTTTGTTAATTTATCTTTATTCATGCTTACCACATAATTAATGGCATGCCTTCGGATGGCTAAAAGGGCAGCGTTAGAAGAGTAACCTGGATGAGCGGGTGGCACAATTGGTGGTGGTACACTCCAGACTCACGTCGTATAGCCGA